ATCTTAGATGAAAACTTCCCTGAATGGGCTGAAGAAAAAAAGGTAAAAAAAAGTAAGAGATATTAGTTGGACATGACATTCATTCAGTCACTAATTTTAGTAGCCTATAAAAGTCTGTGCAAAATATGCACCTCGACAGCATAAATTTTACAGTTCCAATAGCCAATCTGTGGCAGTGAAAGAAAATCCCTCAGATCCCACAAGTCCATTTTTCCATGCTGCTACTGCTTTAGTGACACCATTTGTGTACAGAAGGTAAATATTTACCAGTTTTAGATAAAGCACAATTCAGTCTGTTGAAACCGGAGAGATATCCCTAAGAGTGAATACTGTAGTGCCTACATATAAATTCATAGTTTGTTCTAGCAGCAACACACTGGCTCCATGCTACTGAAGATCACATCTCAAGCAGATAACAAATCAGACTGAGGCTAAATAGTCTCTCTAGTTTGTATTTCCTGCTTCCTGAAAGGAACTTCCTACAACAGGAACAAAATGCACATTGTAAATTAGGAGACAAAAAAGTTTTATTGCAAATAATTTATTAGATGAAGCTGTTCTGTTCTGGCATAACTTGGTACTAAATTACTACAGTACACTCAAGACTAGTTTGTTTGTAATGTTTTCCTGTCTTATCTTTTCACTGCATGTCTGAATGATCAATGACTTGGTCAGAGGATCTGAGAACGGAACTGCACTCCAGGAATCTTCAAAAATTTTGAGCACAAAAACTTAACAGATACAGACAAATTTCAGAGTAGCATCTGAAGATTGATATGGTCCTATTGGTCACATTGACCTTATCATAGAATCTGAACTCTACACAGAAGTCCTCTAGCATGAACTGTAAGAAGTTAGTTACTTGGCACATTATTTTTACACCCAATTCCCAAATGCAAGTTTATGACTATTCAGTTATTGTTTGTTTTACAAGGAAGTAAAATGACATAACTTGACTTCTTCATCCACATGAGTTATAAAAGACAGTACTATATGAGACCAGAAGAAAAAAAAAAAGAGTATAACGTTTCTTGCTTAATATCTTTATTTAAATTTCAAACAGGAAAATGCCACTGAGCCCATCATACAGCTACTCTGGTGAGAAAGGTCCTTCAGACAAAATAAATTCCTGTTCTTCTTCCCATTTTCACCCACTCAATAAAAAAAAAAAAAAAAAAAAATCAGCTAGTTCTGAAGAGCTTTGCAAACTGATGCTTCAATGAAGCACTATTACAAAATACGAAGACAATACAGAGAACCCAACACAAAGCATCTTGAAATTATATGGGAAGGACAACATTTAAAACACACTGGATTATCTGTCTCTGGTGTTCTCATCTGTGCACACATTTCTGGGAGAAAAAGAAAAGATTACATTTTATCTTGTTACTCTATAAACTGTTTTTAAAAGTCAATAGTCCCAAAAATGAAAATTGCTGTCAAGATTCCACACCTGTGGAAGTATGTTTTAGCAAAATCAGAAGATTTCCTTGATAGTATGATCGAGTAAGGGCTTCATCAGCCCACAAATTCCAAAAAAAATTAAACTGGTTTTTTGTGAAGCCAACTAAACTAGGCCTTGAAAACTATTTTTCTTTACATCATCATAGATTCATAGATGTTAGGGTTGGAAGGGACCTCAATAGATCATTGAGTCTGACCCCCTGCCCTGGACAGGAAAGAGTGCTGGGTTCAGATGACCCCAGCCAGATGCCCATCCAACCTCCTCTTGAAGACCCGCAGGGTAGGGGAGAGCACCACCTCCCTTGGGAGCCCATTTCAGACCTTGGCCACTCTAACTATGAAGAAGTTCCTCCTAATGTCCAGTCTAAATCTGCTCTCTGCTAGCTTATGGCCATTATTTCTTGTGACCCCCTGGGGTGCCTTGGTGAGCAGAGCTTCACCAATTCCCTTCTGCGCCCCCATGATGAATTTACAGGCAGCCACAAGGTCGCCTCTCAACCTTCTCTTGCAGAGGCTGAAGAGGTCTAGGTGCCCTAGTCTCTCCTTGTAGGGCTTGGCCTGCAAGCCCTGAATCATATGAGTGGCCCTTCTCTGGACCCTCTCCAGGTTATCCACATCCCTCTTGAAGTGTGGCGTCCAAAACTGCACGCAGTACTCCAACTGCGGTCTGACCAGCGCCCAATAGAGGGGAAGTATCACCTCCTTGGTTCTGTCTGTCACGCATCTGCTGCTGCATGATAAAGTGTAGTTAACTTTTCTGATGACTTTGTCACACTGATGACTCATGTTCATCTTGGAGTCCACTAGGACTCCGAGATCACTTTCATTTAACACATTAGCCTCAGAAGTGTGCCAAAACAACCCAAGAGACTACTGTAGTAATAACAGTGTAAAGCAAAAGGGGGCGCATCTACAGCAAGACAAGAAAGATGATCCCTGTCAACAAGTACTCCTGTAATTCTAATGCCTGAGTGTTTAGATTTCTAATCTAATGTATAACACTCCATACCAAATTAATTATTATCATCATCATCAACAGAAAAAGCAGCCAGGCTTGACAGCACATCTCCATGCCCGGAGCAGCACCAACTCCTACTGTGCTGATTTTTGGATATGATCAGCTGCTGTGGCAACAATTGCTTTTGTGCCCCCACCTCCACAAAGGTGGCCGTACAAAGGTAATGGGGTGAGGGGAAAAGGGAACTGCTGTTCCAGTGGTCCCACCTCAGTTACACTCATGGTTTCAACATCCTCAGGCAAGCAGGCTATAAAAATGCAACACACTCCTCTCTTCTGACCTCTGTGGGTAACAAAGTGCTAATTCTAAAAGCAAATCTGTAGTTGCCCTGCCTAAAGCTAAAAAGCTGCTTGAATTATATGAAAAGCCCAGCATATAGGGCGATGCGTAGGGGGTGCACTCCCTGAGCATGGCGGTGCACCCCCTACAAAAATGCGCCCGCAGGCAGTCACCAATCCCTGGTCAGTGCTCGCCAGCACCCACCACCCCCGCCAGCGCTGGCAGTGTCTGCGGGAGGTCTGCGCTTACCGCCGCCGAGCTCCTGCCACTGCCACCGCACTCCCACAGCCATGCCCCCCCCAGCCACCAGGGGCACGTGTAGTTCATACCTGGTATCAAGGATAGCAAAATATCTCTTTTGAAGAGAGAGTTACTGACAGACCCAAATAATCTGCAAAAGTACGGCATAAAGCTCTGTGTCTTCATACTACACGTTCATTCATTAGAAAGGCCTTTTATTCATTCCCACTGCAGTAGCTTTGTGGTCTTCAAGAAAGAATGTAGTATGAATGTTTTTAGTAAAAAAACCCATCTATATTTAATACAGTTAAATAAAAGGACAAATTATATCTAAGCCAAAAGCAAAAAGAAACGGCGATGCCAGTGGACTAACGGAAATCAGCAAGAGGAATCTCAAAACCCCTTAGAATAGGGAAATTTATCTTTACTGTGTCTTATACAGGTGTGTAGATAGAATGGGCCAAGCCTGGGAGAAGCATTAGCAGGTGAATTCACAACAGACCTCTGTGGGCTAAAACTCAGTGTGTTAAATGAGAATAAGCCAACTGGAAAATGGGGGTGATAACTACTCTAACTTGTACTAATTAGATACTCAATGAATATGCAAAATCAGGGCAATCGGCTGCTACAGGAGACAGAAGGTAGGACCTGTAGGAGGGAAAAGCAATTAAAGGAGGATGCAAGAGAAAGTGCCCCTCCAGCCTATTTATCTTTTCATTTAGTAGTTTTATCTACTACAACCACTGTGATGTGTTATACTCATTTACCAATTTGGGATGAAGTAAAGATACATGATTTTACCACTTGCACCCATTTTTCAAACACTTTGATTTACCCGTCCTTCATAATGAAGTTACACTGAATTCAGTTCAATCTTCTTGCACAGGTCTACATTTTTGGTGTAGGAAATCTTAAGCAGAGGCACTTTTTGTATCTAGCTTTACAATTGCAAAAATTCTTTCCTATGTTGTAAAATGGTAAAATGTAACAAAGTTTCTACTTCAAACAGTTGTTAAATAGATTTTGAGGACTAGCAATCTATAATATAAAGTCTAGCTTGCATTATAAAGTAATGCATAAATCAGCTGAGTAGCATTAAACAATTGGCTAAACACTCAGACTTTCCCAAATGTATTACTTTTTAGACTGACTCCGAGTCACTGTTTTTACTCTTAAGCCTTGTGTGCTGGCGCGAGAAGCTTGGGGAAACTAAGCCATTGTTGCCAGAAACCCACAATCCTGTGCTGCTGCTAGCTCCATAGTTTGCCAGCAACATGAATCACCATAAGTCAAACCTACTGACCCATCTTCTTTTTGCTTTTGGCATTAGCTCAGCTCTCTCAAAGCATAAAGCAAATAACAATTCTACTTCAAGTTCCAGTTGAGTATAGTAGTCACCCAAAAACCACCGAGTTCCTGGGAGACTATGTGAAATGCGACCTTTACATGTAACAAAAAATTCAGATCTGTTGTTTCTCATCCAAAGGCTCAGAAAATTGAGAGCGTGTGCAAGAGCTCTCTCTTGGTAGATGATGCACTCAGGTTTCCACTACTGTATCTGTATAGCTACCTACATCTCTGTATCTTAAGCCAGCTCACCTCAGCTAAGCAACAAATTACAAGTTATTACTTGTAATCCTGCAATAGCCTTTGTAGTAATGAATATGATGAAAACTGCCAGAGAAAGGGGATTGCAAGTGTTTAAATTGCAGAAAATGCACACAAGAAGGAAAAACAAGGAAGTGTGACAGAGGGCTAAGAAACAAAATAGGAACTGAATTCTTCTTAGCAACCAAATACTTACCAGAACATTTGAAGAGTAAAGCACTCCTCCCTCCCTCATCTCCCATGAAACCTATTCTACAGAAATGATGCTAACAGATCCTCCTAATATCTACAATCACTCCTACTGGCCATAACAGACTTAATTGCTATGATCAGACCATGAGATAAAAGGTATTGCTAATGGTAGAAAGAGAAGAAATGGTTCAGAACTTACCTGTTTCTGTGCTGAGGTTCCCATATGCACCTGACAGAACTTGACTGCCTGTTCAAGGGCTGCTTCTTCATCCACCTAAATAAAGCAAATACAATTAATGAAGCCATGAGTACTCTCAGTGATCACAGTTTCAAAGCAGACTAAACTAAACAGAAGCAAAAGCACATCAATCCAGAATAAGAGTCCCCACATATTGAGTAAGTATGAATAGCAGAAGTTCCCACCAATTTCGACAGCTTAGAACAGGCCCCTTGAGTTCCAGTATATGCAGATCCAACTTTCTTTGGTCCTAAATAACACCCCTGTCAGGACAAGTGCCTAGGTAGCACACGCAGACCTGCTCAGAAAGGGTTTGGTGGACCACGAGGCCCTTTCACACATATGCAGCTCTTCTGATGTTTTGTCAGACATGGCATTCATTGTTATTCATTGCTTTAGTTTGTTGTAATCATGATAGGAGTGCTGCTGTTTATTAATTTGGCACCAGTATAAGAAGTAATTGCTGTGCTAACACTGCCACTCTTGAAACTACAAAGCAGATGCCCCTGCATTCCACATGTGTCAGCTATCACTGAATCCCACTGGCCAGGAAAAAAGTCAGAAAAAGTTCCTATCGCACATTCTTTGACAAGGCCATAAACTACATCTGTTAAAAGAATGTGCCTAAGTGAACAATGGAAAGAGAGGATGATGCAGCATCAAAAATTAAGACCTTTAAAGTAAGGAATATATGGCCCTAATATTATTAATCAAAATATATAATTTAATCACTTTATGTTATCTGAGTTGTGCAATGGTAATGGTAGTACTATCTTGGGGAAAGGATTTTGCACAAAGAATATCTGAGATCAGAGGTCACAATGAAAAAGTAGAATTTGAAAGTAAAATCACTTACCTGTTTAATCAGCATATATGTTTCAGACATGATCTTCTCAATTCTGCCCAGGTCATAGGCCATGACCTTTTGACCTTGCTGCCATACCCGGTAGGCATCAAGCAAGAGGGTTTTCCCAGATTCTACATCCTCTAGTAACTTCCTCTTTCTATTTGATCTCTGAACAGCCTCCTCTGTTGGTGGTGTCTGGATCGTTCCTTTAGCTACTTGCTGCTGGTGCTTTGAGCTGATACTTAAGTCTTCCAGGGAGAGTTCTGCAGTTCGGCTTTCAGGTGTTTTATCCTTTAAGTTCCTGCTAGGCTGAACACGGTCTGACTCAGTGCGTTTACAGGAAGAATCAATTTTCTCAGGGTCAGTGGAATAGCTGTCAAGATCCATGGGCTCAACTGAGCCAGGCCTAGGAACCTCTTTTATTTCTTTGTTATTCTTATCCTCTTGTTCCAACGTGTCCATAGCATTGGGAGTTTGTCCCTGGGTCACTTCTTTCACTCCATTCTCAGTAACATGTCCTGCTCCATCAGAAAGAACTGGCTTTTTGGGAAGGACCTCCTTCCCCTCTTCAGCACTAGCTTTGTTGGAGACGTCTGTTGTCATCCTTCCAACTACAAGGCTACAAGATTTGGAACCCTGATCTTCCGAAACCTGTGAGTGTGCATGGGGGAAAACCCATTTTACTTACTGCTGAAATCAGAAGTTACTCAGTGCTTGAAAAATCTGACTACAGCTACAGAGTGGATATGTCTACACATGTGCCCACTATGCAGTTGATCATTTAGTACTTGATAAAGCAAGTGGTACCCCTGGTACCATGCAGTCCTGGTGGTGCACAGGTCATTTCTGACCTTACTGAAGCAACAAGCTACTGTGCTGTAGTGGCAGTGTCAAGGTTAGTGCCTGCTGGCACTACGTCACAGATGCGCCCAGCATGTCAACAACATGCAACATGGTGTCATCCTGTCTTGTATTGAAGAACTCAGTATATCTAATGCTTATCCATGCAGAGTCCAAAAAAAACCAAAAAAAAAACAACCCACCACCCATAAGAAAAAAAGGGGAAAAAAATCACTTCAAACCACAACTGTTATGACTGGTTAAAATACGTTGATGAATCAACAGCATGGATTTATTTTAACCCTAAATTTCCTTCCGCTGCTTCAGTCAATGCTCTATATATTTAAATGAGCAATATCAGTGTTTGGACAATAAGAAGTTTCCCCTAACATAGTAGGCACATCTACGTGTTCATTAGTGCAGTGCCTCCTATGCATTAAAACTTACTACTGGCAAAAGGAAGTACTAAATAAAGATGCAGTAGGCTGCCACTGCACACTAGTTCAATTGCATGCTTTTTTCATGACAGTTACCATGCAGTAGACTAATACTACTGTGCATTAGCCTAATAGCATGGTTTTTGCCATAACACTGTAATATTCAGTTAATCAGTCTACTGCATGTTAAGCATCTCATGTAGACGTGCCCACTGAAACCAAAAATACAAAGCCATTGCTCCTGGCACTTTACAAACCAACCTCAACATTTCACCTTCTGTCTTTTGGTTGCTCTGACCTAATCCTTTTCCTGTGGTTAGACTAAAATATTATGCCAGACTCTGATCTAACAGTAAACCTATAAAAATTTGAGTAAGGTGAAGTCTATATTCCTTCCGCTCAGACTAGAGCTGTTAAAACGGCTAATATTAAAATTCTTCAGTTTGGGTGTAGTAGGACTTGCTAGACAGAGTCACAGATGCTCAACAGACGTACATGGGTCCAACTCTGCTAAACACATTTTCAGCAAGTTTGCTTGCTGGTGCTCCTCAAATTTTTAGACTTGAAGTCTTCCCTTGATTTATTCACCTATATTTTTCTAAGTTACAACAAAATTAATTTGACACCACTTTATCTGCAGACAAGTGTGGTATGATAGATAGGTACCAATTCAGCCAGTCAGTGATCTTTGTAGAAATCTGACAAACACAGCTTGCTCTTCTTTTACTCCTTTCACAATCTATGAATAATACCACTTAACAGTAACTGTTCACGTAACATGCTGAAGGAATGTGGTGAGGGAATAGTACCTTATTTATCTGACTCCAAAACTACTCTGAATTTAAGAACCCCCCCACACAAATAATTACATTCTATACATAGAAAATATACAAACTTGCTATAATTTTCCATGTACTAAATCTAATTATTCACTGGTCACCTTCACCTTCAATTCATCCCATTCATTGCTGCAGCAAGGAAAGCAGTTAAATAGTCTGCCCTGGGTCAGGGTCAGAGCTGGAGCAGCAGATACCTGCCCCCACATCCCATCTCATTCTCAAATCCATGACTAGGGGCTCCCCCCATTAAATATGGCATTAAAGAAACAAAATCAAAATCTAATCTAAAGGATGTTTTGCTAGTGAAACATCCAGTCATTTAATTATAGATCCCACGTCAGATTTTGCTCTGTGTGCACTGTTTTCCTAAATCATATGGAATTCCCAACTTACACAAGAAGAGTAGAATCAAAACCATTGGACTCAACTCCCCTAAATGGATTCATTTCTGGATTTTACAAATGAGTAAGACTACTGCAGGAGAAATTTTAGGTGCACTAGCTAAACACATTAGAAATAAATAAAAGGGAAGGAATTAGGCCTGTGCGAAGCGGCTAGTATTTGCTTTGGGGGACAGTGATTCAATTCGGTGATTCGGCTGCTGCTAAAGGTCTGAATCACCCAGGCCCATCCCTGGCAATGGCTGCCCTGCCCAACCCAGCTCCTGGCACTTTGCAAAAAAACCCAAAACAACAACAACAAAAAAACCCACTCTGACTCCCTGGGTGCTGCCAGGTGGGGGGTGGGCAATCCCCACTGCCCCCCACTGCGTGAGGAACTCTGCACAAGACCTCTGACCCACCCCCCACTCCTCCATGGCTGTCCCCCGCCCCAGCTCCAGCCCTTCAAAGAAAACTCATACCCAAAACCCCCAGAATCACCGGTTCCTGCCTGGCAGGGGGTGATCCCCACTGCCCCCTGCAGGGTGCTTCCATGAGTCCCCCAAAGACCCAAGGAGGTCAGAGGGGTTGTGGCAGAACCCCCCCATGCAGTGTGGGGCAGTAGGGATCGCCCCCCCACCTGGCAGCACCCAGTGAGTGGGGTTTTTTTGGTTTTTTTTAAAAAAAGCACTGAGAGCTGGGGGAGCAGGCCTGGCAGGGGTCCCCCCTTGGTCCCTTCCCTGCCCCCTACTTACCAGCTCCGAATTTGGCTCCAGCTCCCTGCTGCAGTGGGCGGGGACTGCCTGAATCAAAGCTCTCCAAATCGTTCCTGAAGATTCAGAGAGCTTTGGAATTGATTTGGACCTTTTTATTGGTTCCCCGATTCGATTTGGATTTGGAGATTCAACCACTAAAAAAAAATTGGGCCAAACCTCCTCTGAATCAAATCAGCACCCAAAGCTTTGCACAGCCCTAGTATGAATAACAACTGGTCCACAGAAGGTTTGGGAAGCCGTTTAACTACCTATAGCCAAGCATTAGCAAATCAAAACTAATTTGCTAAAAATTCTACATCTTCATAGCAACTTTCTTACTTGTGTCAGATCGTTGAGTGTGTCCTCTAACACCTTCACTGTGAGAACAAAGGCTTGTTGGGCAAGCACCTGGCGATCTGCATCCCTTAAGTACTTCCTGTGCCAAAATGAGAATGTAACCAATGAAACTGAACTGTCAGAAACTCCAGGACTTCAAAAATAAGAATGAATAAAAATTAAATTCTTAAAATAAATAGCACATAGAATACAAGGTAAACCGCAAAAGGCAGCAAACATTTACATTAACTGTACACCAAACAACTTCAGTATGTGAACTTCTTGCATGCTGCTCCCAATATATAGGAAAGATGGCATTCATCAACAATGCTCTTGACATCTTGCCTGCATAAATAGGAATAATGAAGAAAACGAGTGTAGAAGCTTTCCTGCACCTTAAAATCTGCAAGCTTTTGTTATTCAAAAATCTGGGTTCTCTCCAAAAAGGAGGTCAAATATGCTAAATAACCTTGAACACTAGGGTGGCTCACACAACAATGGAAAATGGCCACTTGAGATGAAGGGAGACAAGCTAACTTTAAAAGCCATACTTCTACTGTTAAAAGGCTCGTGAGTCAACACACGTGCTAACCAGCAAGTACAACAAAAAATTATGTTAATTGGAGGAAGTCTATTGAGAACACATCTTTAAGCCATACTGGTGGGTTTTCAGGTGAAAATTTACTTAATTAATGACAGTTCTGGGGCTTTTTGTGCATATCTGATGTTTTGAGTTTAGTTAAAGTGAAAAAAGAAAGCCCTCTTAAAATACCAAGTATATGTGCATGTGTATACATACACATACACTGCCTATATAGTTTATGCATACTGGCAAACACACTCAAAACAATTCACATTTACACCGTCTCCAAGTGACTGCACCACCCAGTTCTGCAGGGCCCCCACCAAAGCATGGGGCATGGGTGGTTGCCCCAATTCGCCTCCCCACTAGGGACAGCCCCGAGTGGCCTAATGCTTCCAGCCACTACAATACAACTGTCATTGATATTACCCTACATTTCTTAAAAAACATTTAGATGCACTTTTAATGCTTCCTTCTTGGTAACCAACTGAAAATTTTGCCTCAAGATTTTTTTCTCCAATTTTTCCCTGTCATATTTAGATCCTGGCCTTTCCAAAGATGCCAACATACAGTCAAGTTTAAAATGGCAATTTTTCAAATAAAAATCAACATAATTAAAATTAGATTACTCTCCTATTAGACAAGGCCTTAGACCACTTATTTTCAACCAGGGTATTATGGCACTCTGAGGCACCCTGGGATTCTTTAAGGAATGCCGTGGGGTGCCACACTATATTTGCACTGTTAGGTATGCGAACACAATTCACAAAATAACCCAAAAGATCTCAAATAGGAATTCATAGTGTTAAAAAACACAAACACTCTGACCTTTGAGGTCTTTCTGAATTCTTTGCAGCAAAAGAATTGCTCTACTATTATTTTTCTGCAATCAAAAGAGTGAAAACTAAAAAGACAACATTTTCCAAGGGGTGCCTTATGCCTAAGGAAAAGTGCCTTGAGCCTAAAAACATTGAGGACCACTGTCTTAGTGTCAGCTCCCAAGACCTAGTTTGGGGTTGTTCAATTAATTAAGGATGCAGGGACACAGAGCTGTCCGTTACAGCTGTGAGAAGCTTTGGTCCCCGATTCGATTCGGCCGAGATTCCGCTCGATCTGGTGGCCGAATCTCCAAATCCAAATTGAATCAGGAGACCCTTTAATCTCTCCGAATCGAATCAGAACCCTCTGGCAATTCAGACGTAGACACAGCTTTAAATGTTTTTTCTACATACCTCAAGGTACCAGCACGGCTCGTGAATGCTGCCATGGTGGGGTGGATGGAGCATCCCACAGGAGCGCATGGTGCTCCCCAGCGTGCTCGGCAGCAGACCCAAAAGTGGACCAGAAGCACTTCTGGGTCTGCCAGGGACTGTGCTGCCCTCCCCCCCGCCCCAGCTTGGTGACTGGTGCCTCCTTGGTTTGGGGGGGCAACCAGGGTCCCCGCACGGCTGATCGCTGAGCCAAGGCAGTACGGTTGGACCCCCCACATGCTTGGCAGAGGACCCAGAAGTGGAGCGGAAGTACTTCTGGTCCACTTCTGGGTTCGCTGCCAAACAGGCGGGGGGGCCCTCCCATGCTCACGTGGGATGCTCCAACTGCCCCAGCATCACAGCGTTCACGAGCTGCAGCTGGTACCTCAAGGTATGCAGAAAAACATTTAAAGCTGCATCTATGGCAGAATTGCCAATTCTCTGAATCCACACTGAATCTCTGGATTTGTCTGAAACAAATTGGGGACAGTGATCCAAATCAACAAGTCAAATCACCGTCCCCAGTTTGGGCTGAATCAGGATCAAATACGGCCTGTTTTGCACACCCCTACTGTCTATGCCACGAACCCTTCTCCAGAGGGCAGATGCTAAAAAGAGGGCTGGGTAAGTGTGATACTGGCCTATGCCCCAGCCAGATTCTTCTCACAGGAAAAATGGAATCCACAGCAGGTCAGTAAAACCTGCTTTTTGGCAGCTTGCGCCTCCTGGGAGTGCCAAGTAGTTCTAGAATGGCTGAGAATCTAAACTCTGGAGGCACAGCTCTCAGTATCCTTTTGCACCAGTAGCCAGAATTCCTCAGAACCATGTTAATTCACATTCCTGACCTATGTTCTTTTCTTTAACACAAGCACAATTCATAGTGCTATGGATCAGCATTTATTTCCTCAAACCAGATTAAATGTTTTTCTTGCAACAGAAAAATTATGAGAAATTAATTAAAAAAAAATTAGGAAAGAATCATAAGCTAACACAAAACATCTTACTTTCCCTGGTCAGGGGTCCTTTGCAGCATAGATGAGACTTTCAATAAGGTGTTGGAATCCTTGAGCTGTGACAGTACATTCAGCAACAAGACAATAGAGCGGTTCATATGAGATGCAAAACTGCCTGGGCGGTCGATTTCATCCACGGGAATGCGCCAGATTCCCTGAACAGAAAGCAAGACAGCAAACCTCTAAAGAGTTACTCAAATCAAGAAAACCAACCAACCACCCTCACCCCTCCTTCCCTGCAGTTCTTCTGCGTTCTGTATATGGAGTTTCAACATAAAACAGCAGAACACCAAATTAACTAGTGCAGTGGTCCTTCAAATAAAGAGATCCAGACAATTTAAAAGTCTTCTGGATAAAAAAGTTAACTGCTTTGTTCTTGTCATTAAGAAATCCTGGAATTTTACAGGATGCATAGCACCCATTTTAGGTAAGTTTGTTGAAAAAAATGCCAAGAGATGGTTACATTTTATTAAGCAAGTTTAACCTGAATCTGGTCCACACGCCATTCCAAAGCATTTTTGTCATAAAAGAACAACAACAAAATTATATTTTTGAACAGGTGAAAAAAAATTGTCCTCATTAGATGTGCAGCTGTCAGCCCATCACTTTAGAGCCATACCTACAAACAGAGTTGTTAGGATAGTCACATGCTTGATGATGTCTTGCTATCATTAGACCATTAATACCCTTGGAGTAATCAGCCTCTGACATCTGTAAAATCAGATTCCCCCACTGGCAAATTTTAAAAATGCACTTGTGTGCATATCCTGAGGTCTCTGACAAAATCAGAAGCCAAAGCAATCTTTGGGGAGTAGCTTATACATTTAATAATCGTTAAGTTATAGTTTAAATTTTGATTAGCTTTCATGGAGCTTGCAATGCTTAAGCAAAAACAAGAAGATTTTTTTTTGTCCAGGTATTTAACACAGAAGTGATCAGCATAGTGTAAACTGACTAGATATTAAACAACATTAAACTGACTAAATATGTCCAAACAGTATATATACACGTGTAGTGGCGATATAAATCACTCACTAGTAGTCTACAAGAGGCCAAGTACATAATACTACTGTTGCCACACCAGTATCAATCCTCTCACTACTCATTATTTCTATTGCTCAATGACGGAAAATGTCCACCAGTAATTCTTCTAGAAAAGAATCCTCCTCCTAAAATAGTATTAGCTTTACTATTTAATAAGGTTGTAAAAAGAAATTTCATGATCTAAGAATGCCTGTTAGAGTGTGACCTCTGCTTTGAGAGAGAGAAACATACAAATATTTAATCTTTCATTCCATTTTATAGATCCCCTTTTGCTGTTTTAGTGGTACTCTAAATGGAAGCAAAGTTTCTTTAGAACGTTTTACAAGATAGAAATGAAGAATCTGATTACTCCAAGGAATGCCTGATCCTCAAGGACAGAAAACAGCTATGTAAACAGTCCATCTAATACCAGGTCGGTCTCCTCCATGTTCTTGGTGAATTTATATTCTTCTCTGTACGATTTATTTAAACATATACATGCTACTTTTTTCTCTTCCCAATTTAAATGAAATCCTAGTTTTGTGTTTTGTTTTTAGTTAAGTGTTTAACTAGGTAGCAAGGACTTAAATTAGGCAGAACGCACAGAAATTTTCCTTCTCTTGCCTTCCCTAGCTCATTTTACTCCTGCCACCTTCCCCAATATCAACATTTACCTCACTTTTATTCCTGCATGTTCAAGCTTTCCATCACCAAGCTCCATACCTTTATTCCATTTTCCTTCTTTCAGGTAAACAGAACACACTGGCTGAAGTTGTCTGTGGCTCACCTTTGTGGCAAGACAGTCACTTCCTTCCTTCTCCAACTGTTTTTCTTTTTTCTTTCTTTCTTTTTTTTTTTTTTTTTTTTAAAAAGTACTTCCTTGTTTTGGTAGCATCTCTGTCTATTCAGGCAGTTCCCCATTTCAATACTGCTGTTACCAATACTCCATGCAACACTGCAGCAAAAGCCTTTTGATTGTGCAAAGAAAGACTTCAGAAGAAGGTTTTTTGGTTGTATATATTTAAATAAGTCTGCAACTATGCCTCTGTTTCCAAAGAATGAACCACCTCTGCAACAGGCATTCAAAGAGACAAAGCTCTCTAAACTGATTTCCACCAAATCCTCAAAAGGATTAAAATCGACTTCAACAATAGGAATACAAACACAGATACAATGATCTTCTCAACTGATGTAGCAGCACAATATGCAACGCATGGTTAACATACAAATACACCATAGGAATGGAAAGCTTCTGTGTTTCCATCTGATCCGCCACCCACTGCATCCTTCATGCATATTAGGTGGCACACACAGAGTCAACTTTATACACCCCAGGTAATTATACACAGAAAAATTCTAGATTATGCTAAATTAATTACATTTGTTTGTTTAAAAATTAAATTACACATAACACTATTTGAACCTTCTTTAGAAATAGTTGCAGATTACTTATGTGTGGGAGTTTGTGAAGGCATGGGGGGGGTTTGTGTGGTCTCCCCTGCCACCCCCTCCTCCATGGCTCCAGTAAATCCTGGGGGCTGCAGGTGGTGGCACAGAGCCAGCCCAGTTTGCCCTGCTGGCAGGTGCCTTTGGGCCAGATCGGGCTGGCCCCATGCCAGCACATGGGGCTTGCAGCACTGCAGGTACCCATGTGTACCACGGTGTGGAGGGCATGTGGTAGGGGGCCCCACACCAACCCCATACACACTCCCATACCCATCCCCTTTTCCTGCAGGCAGGAGCTCACCTTCCCCACTCACTGGCTACACCCCAGGGAATGACATGATATTATGCAATTATGCGCAATCATATGTTTTGTGCACAAAGTTACGCATGTGCATAATTGCATAATTCCCTGGGGTATAACTGTAGGACATCATACCAAGAATTGGTTTCCTGGAAGCTTCCCATACTTACCAATGCACATATTTTGGTCACACTCACCTCCCCCACACACATACACGAATTATTACCTGGAAAATTAGATTATCATCATTTTACAAATCTTCAAAAACCTCTTATATTTGGAAGTGGGGAGGGGAAATGTGGCAAGCCCACACCACTTAAGGAACTATTTTGTAGTACATTATATGAAATCCTCTCACCAAAACCAGAGAATAACTTTCAGGCAGTATTAGCCTCTAGCACAGAAAGGCCAACCAGAGTATACTTCAAGACCCCAGAATCTTCACTATCAATTCAGCCCAGTCTATATTTTGTTTGTGCCGATACAATACCCTATTATTTTTGGTACCAAACAAGGAACTTTTAATGTTTCATTAATGGATTTTATAGATTCTGTGCATTCATACTATACCTGCAATGTTCTGCTGTGCTAAACAAAGTAAATCAGGTTCCTTCCTTACTTTAAGCTAATTTTTGTTTATGTACTGGTATGTGAAAAGACCGTTTAAAATGATCTACAACAACAGGCTTAAGAGATATTTAAAGGACAGCTTCTTTGTCATCACTTGGACTAACTTTCCATGTGTTACTGTGCAGTAAACTGTTGAGAATTCTACACGTGTGTGTAATCCTTTCACTTAGGGGTGCACCGATAGAGATGTTGGGGGCTGATACCGATACCTGATTTTTAAGGAGGCATATTGGCCGATACTGAACCAATTTCCGATGCAGCTGTGTGCAACTGGTAAGTTTGTTGTGCTGGATGGGAAGGAGGGAG